TGAAATTAATCACACATAGCAACTCATGTATTGCACTCATTTGACCAATTGATCTGATTCACTTGGTCAAGCAAGTATAATACGTATGTTGCTATATATTGGAGTTTTTTGTACAATGTATAAGCTATCGCGAAAACTGTATGTTGCCACATTTGCAGCATCTGTTAAATCAAAAAATGCATGAAAAATCAAAATCCCTTAAATTAGAAACAACAGATACTTGCTGTTAGGAATCTGTTGAAAATGCAGCAGTACTAAATCATTGCATTTGCAAAGAAACGGATTTGCCCGATCTTACTGTAACCGGCACGCTCGGGTTTTAACGCTATTAAATTTGATAATAAAATAAACGCTAACAGGCACTAGGGTTCCTGTGCGATCATGAATTTCTGCGCAAACCCTTAAAGCAAACAGATCGTTAACAGTATGAATGGTTGTAGCTTTACTGATAACTGCACACTCATGCAGAAAATGCTTTTGGCCGTTTACTGTAAGTGGCCACAGAGACTATTAGTTGACGGCATTGTTACATTATATGGTCGCATAATATAATAATATCCAAATGTGTATGATTATCTACGAAGAGAAGCTGCTGATGATCTAAGAGCTTGTTGTGTAAGTACAGAAAGGAGTAGGCATTTGTGAAAGATATTATAGTCAGTCTTACGGTCGTACAAAAAGAGGCAAGCATTCTCGTAAAACCCGTGATTTTTCGTTGTCCGCTTACCAAACCAGAATAACGAAAGTATTGTATTGCACAGTTGACGTGTCCATGCGCAGGGTATATTAGTAAACGAAAATTTACAATTACAGACTCACATAATAAAAACTCACAAAAAACTGTCACTTTTTGTTCAGTTTGGTTGCTGAGTTAAGTGGGAATCAAACCTGTTCAAAAACGGAACTTTGGCCACGTTTAGCACAAAACTAGAAATGCTGCAAAACGGAATTCAGAACTGCAGTCGTACATCGCTAGTGAATATCCTCATAAAATTTCAGCATCTAACTAGATAGGTAGTGTGAGCTGCTTCTTACAGATCTATTTATCTATCTACAGATCTATTTATCGCGCCTATACGAGTGATACGCGAAAGCTAATTTATACGCGAACATAGTACGCGAAAGCTAGTGTGGTTTATTGTCCGCATACGTTCTAGATCGTTATTTTGCCTGTGATGTGTCAATTTCATCTCTGACATGTTCAAAAGTGATGCAGGCGTAATTTAAAGCTGAATTCGAAACCTTTAACTCATACAAGAGCGCAATACCTTTGTGAAATTTCAACTTCCCATTTTGTCTGATTCCCGAAATCGATTTTCCAACAAAAAATTTATATGCCTCCTTTTAGAAGTATTTGAGACAAGTATTATACCCTGGTCGAACATGGGTTAGGAACACTCTCGTGAAATTTCAGCTTTCTAGCTTCATCTAAGATACACACACACACACACACACACACACATGCACACACACACATACACACAGACAATTCCACATAATTATCAACAAACTCTCGTCAATATGTGTTTTTGCTTTGCATAAATATGCAAAAACACATAAAAATTGACAATACAACATTGCATTATCGAAAATGCAAAGCCGCGGTAAACATGCATTCCAAAAGAAACTGAGTGGCTGGCCACGCTGATCCTTCGTCCAATCAATAACTCCTTAAATATAATCAGAGCACCAACCTGTGCATGCATTCGCGCCTCTACACTTAAAAGCAAAGCTTCTTCCATAGTGTCTGTGCGATAAATCGCCCATGCTGGTTCATCCCACCGTAATGGAACTGCTGGGAAATGCATCGGATACATGAACGCTGCCATCGTTGTTCAGCCCTAGACAGTGTTTTTTGCAATATATATGCATATTCAAAACCAAAGACGCTGCAGTGCATAACAGAACAATAAATACTTCCCATTTCGCCTTGTTCTCAGTCGCTGAATTAGTGAAGAAATGCTCAGAAATAAGCTGAACTGAGAGAAGAAAATAAAGCATTTTGCAAGCTCATAAAAGCACCAATGCATAATCGTAGCTTTCAAAAAAAAAGTTTTAATTAATCGCTAATTAGAAAGTGCAAAACGATGACAACATCATGAACATGCGCAGAAATTATTGAGCACAACCAATGTTTCATTTCATCGAAAAAAAAGCAATTATAATCTAATTCATAAGAAAAACTGAGACTCATTCCAAATTTCGCTTGAAATTTTCATCAAAAGTAAACATTTGTTTAGCTCTCTTCCCACCCAAAAAAGTACCATTCGTGGCCCTGGGAAACATGAATTCTGAACAGTCTGAACTGAGATGCTTATAAATAACGCAAAGCACAAACCGATGCTTGTCGTTAGTGAATGACTACTAAAAAAAAAGTTGCATTAGTGAAAACGTTTCTGGCTTTTTCAAAAAAAAAAAAAAAAAAAGTTTTGTGCGAGTTCGGGTGAGTGGCCAAAAGAAAAAGAAGCTGCCAATTTCATATTTTTCCTCCCTTTTTATCTAACTAGAAATCTTGAATCGCCGATACCTGTAGGTATACTTTTACTTAGCCCTGTGGCTATGAAAACTAAGCTGTGCAAGAAAGAACATTTTGAAGTACGGATGTTTCACGAAATACAGGCTAACTCCACACATGCGGATGAACAAAAGGCACAAATGATGGCTAAGAAGTCAGCGATGCAAATTCTCCTTTATAATCTGTTGGCTCTTCATCGTTCACTAACAGTTTGCCCACAACTGGATACTTATCTGCAAACAAAGAAACTAACATTACATTCGCACATTACTTTTACATTTAACTGGAAAATCTCGATGCACTTTTACATAATTAGGAATGTATGTCACCAAAGTCTCGCGATGAATCCAAACCCATCAAGACCTTTGGAAGGACTGACAAAATCACTTTACTGCTTTTCTTAACCAGTGCTTCGAAAAAAAAAAAATGAGTGCTTGACAAATGAAGCTACAAAACTGGTTGTTAAATGCAGGCTGGAAATTAAGGGTGCGACAGTGACGATGTGGAAACGACTGCGAGCCAAAAAAAAAAAAATGCAAAATTTAAAAAGCGCATCCTTCTTTTGATCCGTTCACTGTAACGCGTTCAGTTCTCCCAGCGGAACTAGCATTGACGATTCTGCGGTCACTGTGAATTGAGTTCATGCATAAACAAAATCATAATTTTGAGAGCCCAGGAAATTCAAAGCATTCCATCGTCTTATTAAATAGGAACTGCTCATCTGTTCAAAGAGTTATGGTACAAGGGTAGTCATGCACTTCTATAGCTGCAGCACAAATTTTGCCTAAAACCACCCACCCAGGAGATTTGTCATTCCAGGCCCCGTCTAACTGCCTGGGCTTTTCAGCAGATACTATGAAAATAGTTGCACTAACTTACCATTGAAACGAATGAACGAGCAGCAGAGAGATCACCCGTCCACTGAGGGAGTCGAATTTTCGATTTTTTGCGTGGGAGCAGACTCGTTAGCACCTGCCAGAATAAGGGCAGATATCGTTTTTGCCAATATGTCGTGAGTGCTAATGAGCAAGAAACAAAGGTAAGCAGCGCTGCTCTCGTGCTTGCGGTCGAGGGTTCAATCCCACCAGTCAGATAACAGATCCCTCCGCTACCCGTTTATTCGACCCGATGACAAATGCCTGACAGGAAGTCACAACTACGTTAGCCTGCATCCAATGAACCTTCGAGAAACAAAGTCATC